ACTAAATGATAATGATTGTTTATAGTTTATGGCTAGTAATATTCTGAAGTTGGTCATCTTTGTCAATATTGTGGATTTTAAAAAAAATTTCTTAAAATATATTCTGTGGGATGAAGTTATGAAGTCAGAGTTTTAAGCTTTTTCATGGTGTTGCCAAATTAAACCTTTTGTTTTCAGTATATGAGAGTAATAGTATGTTTGCTTTTATCTACAGTATTGTTTCAGCTAATGATTATTCCTGTAACGTCCTGTATTATGAATAACTTCTATAATTAAAGAAATATAGATAACTCATTGTATTTATGTTGTTGGAAATTTCAGGGAGAGGAGGCAATATTTTTCTAACTCAATCCTCAGAAAAGTCTTCTGTGAAGATGTTTCTTTGTTTTTGTTTGTTTGTTTGTTTGTTTGTTTTGGTTAATTGACATCTGGAGATTAGATTTAAATATAGGTATTTTGATTCTTCTTTTGTTTTGTTGAGATAGGGTCTTGCTATTTAGCTCATGGTAGGCTGAAACTCACTATGTAACCGAGGCTGGCTGAAGAACATCCCCAGTCCTTTTTTACTTTTTAATTTTAAGACAGGATCTCACTGAATTGCTAAATTACCCAGGCTAGGCTTAAATTTGAGATTCTCTTGGCCTTAGCCTCTCAGAATGCTGATATATTACAAGCATGTCATCACTATGCCCAATTTGGAGTGTGACATTTTTAGATCCTAAGAGAAGCACACTAATAATATACAGGAAGAGATAGACTAAATTGACATCTTCTTTTGGAATGTCTGATAGTATTATAGACAGCTAAATTAGATAGAAATACTCTAGGCAATCAGACAGGGCTGGGCCCTTGAGGGAGTCAGTGCAGAGGATGAAAACACATTACATCTGTGGCTGGAGGTGCATCTGTTGAAGGCCAGGCCTCAAGATAAAGATGGAATGACCGGGGCTTCATGCCTCCCCAAGGGACAGCAACAACCATAATTGGTATCACCTGGCCCAATAAAGTCTAGATCGATATCAGTCACCCAGGTGGTTGACAAGGACTACCCCATCCCATCCGTTCCTAAAAAGGTCTTTGTTTTTCCATGTACACTTGCTACATGACCTGTTTCTCCATTGGATCAATATTACCTAATTGGCTATACCTGTAATCTTACTGGTTGATCATAGTTTTGACCCATGGTGTACCCACCTCATGATTTTATACCCACATTTTGATTTTGGTCTATAAAACTTCCTTTGAAAATTGGGCTCGTTGGCAGTCTACTTTCAGGACCCCTTCTGCCTCTCAGGAGCTGTCTCAATAAATATTTCTTATTCTTAACCTCTGTGGTCCCTTAGAATTCATTCTTTGATTTTGGCGAACCCGAATTCAGCATATCTAACATCTCTAGCAGGTTGGGAGTTACATTTATTTCCCCTATTATTTTTGTTTGTTTTTGTTTTTTGGTACTGGGGATAGAACTCGGGTCCTTGCTGCTTACGCAGCAGGCAGCAAAACCAGTGAGCTAAATCTCCGGCCCTCCCCTATTATTAATAGTGTACTGTTAACTCCAAAAAAGGTAACTTGGGAAGAATTTACTGTATAATGGAATCTAGACTAAAGTTTTTTTAGTTAGATTATGATGATAAAGTGTATTGGTCTCCCCTGCTTTCTTAGCATAAGTTTTTAACATTTTCTAAAATTCTGTAAATGTTAAAACCTGTTTTAAAATAATTTGCTTTAGGACAAGTCTCCACTCACAGAGGAAATGTTTTTTTGCTGAAGTAATTGCTTTGAAAGATAGTTAACATTTCTCTGCTGTAATCTCTGCCCTTTGAGCAGGAGGCAGTGGTGCATTTCTTTTGTAAACCATGTAGGTGTTTAAAAGGCAGGAATCATTGAAAAGCTATTTACAGACTGTTTGGCTAGAGGACCTGGTATGAGGGTGTGTATGTTGATGTTTAGAAAGCTTCCTAGGTGATTTTTTTGGTTTGGTTTAGTTGTATCTGTTGTATTTATCATTATGTACTGTTCATTTTAGACAGACAAGTAAATCATTGTTCTTCCATACCCGGCTCAATAGGATGGAACTAGGTGTGGCTTTCCTCAGTCTTTGATATCTAAGTTTATCAACTAAACTTTAAAAATAGGAAATTAGAAAGGAGTTTGTTTCCTTTTAAAAGTATGGTGCAGACCTAATTAGTCTCATACTGAGCACTAAGAATCTGTGTGCACACTCTCACCTTTATCTTCTCAAGTGATTTAAACTCAAACCCTTAGAGACACTGATTCAAGGAAAATAAATAGTATCAGTGCCTGTCTCTGCATTTTCCAGTCTCTGGTCTTGGAATGTGGAGGAGATGAAAGAAAACAGACTTGAGAATATGCAAACATGAATTCAGATCTGCCCCAGAAGAATGTCACCCAGAATTCCCCCAGCTCCTAAATCTCACTTTAAAATGTGTTTGATGATTTATCTGAGTTTTGGGTGTCTTAAGAGAGTGCAGATACTAGAAGCTGCTACATATAGGTAGAAAAGAGACTAAAATATGTGCCTGGAAGACACTTCTAGCCCTTTTTCTCACTGGGATGATCTTATCTTATATTTTCTTATATTTGTTTCTTTCTTATAGTCCACAAAATTTATTCTATTAAAATGTATACTTAGTCTGTGTTTAGTCTATCGTAAATGTTCTTCACTTTTTACTAACACCCATATGTGAAAGTTTTTTTGTTTATTCTCTGTGCAATTATCAAGTTATCGAGAGAAATCTATAATATCTTGTGTGGAGTACATGTGGTATATTGGGTTTGGGGGAGACAGTTGACCATATGGTTTTTAATATTACTATAATATTAAACCATGTGAACTTATTACTTATATAAAAAATAAAGGAGTCACGATTATTGTATTAAATCGTAGGTGTTCATTGTAGACTAAGTAGAAAATACAGGAAAGCACAAAGAAGAGAAAATATCACCAGCAGTCTCACTCACCTAAAGATAACATTTTTGTTACTGTTTTGTTATGGATTGTCTCAATATGAAAGAAAATGCATATTATGCAAATTTGTACTTTTTGACAAAATAATACACAGTCCTTTAAAAAAATAGTAATATATTGTAAATAATGTTTCAGACCCTTAAGTATTTGCTTTCATTCTTTTTAATTGCTGTATTATGCTCTCATATTTAAATACTTTAACCAGCTCACTGTTATTTAATATATAAATTATCTTAACTTTCTGTAATATAACTCCTTCTAGGTAAATCTGTACATATAGTTATTTTTGAGGTATTATCTGCTGTCTAATCAGATTACATCCTTAAGGGTTATGCTTAATTGTACTCCTTGTAATGTATGAGAGTCTCCCTAACCATGACAATATGCAACAGAGTCCATGTGACCAGCCATAGGGTTATTTTTTTTTATTTTATTGTATATGAGGGATAAAACCTGAAGATAGGACAACTCTGAGGTCCATGGTTTTCGGGAGAAAACATCTTGGGACATAAAAATAGTTTTATGTCCTATATGTGATTGGCATTAGGCTGTAGTAGGTTTTGGGGACAGGGATTAAGATTGGAATTTTTGAATTTTGGATTTGGGGGCAGGAATGGATGGATTATTTGCTGTTTTTCTGTACTAATAGATTGAATTGTGTTCTGCCTGATGGCATGCCTTATGTGTCCTATTAACATGTAGGGATGTTTAAACATTTACTAAGTTGAGACGTGCTTAAAAGTGAATATCCAGCTGAATCGGTTAAAAGGTAAAAAATGGCTAAATAGTCTATACAACTTGGAATCCAGGTAAAATGTTGCACAGCATTTAATTGCCCTTTGAAATGTTTACTGAGCATCTTATTTCAAGGTGGAAAGGCACTCTGCTGGCACACTGGTAGTTCTGAGAATTTCATTTTGGATGTTGGGAGAGAATGGAGAGGAGAGGCTAGGCAAATAATTGGCAAGGAAAGCAAACTGTTAAAACCATATTAACAATGTAGCCTTGTTTATATTTGCCTCTCTGGATTTCTGAAACTGGATTCCTTTGCTGTGTGAACTAGTTAGCACAAGCATACTCCTTTCCTTTAGGCTCCTTGGAATTGAAAACATGCTGAAGATAACTCAGTCATGTATATCTCAATTGGACGAGTGCTGGCACTGGCAGGACTTGGCTGTGTAAAGGGATTAATAATGAGAAGTGATCTGGGAATGTGAGTGAAAGTATTTGGAATTGGTTTTTAGGTCTACTTGTATCATGGGCATTTCATAATGAAGAGGTTGTATAAATCAAAAAGTTGTTACTGTTGAAACCAGAAATTTGCTGATTACAGCACAGAGGAACAAGAGTGCTTCATTTAATAGATAGGGCCTTGATTATGAGAAAAACCTAATTTTACCCTGTATGCTCTTTCAGAGTACTATTTCTGAGAAGTATCTACTTCTTTAAATGTAGGTGATACTGTTACATTACTTCATCTGATTCTTACATTACAATCTATTCATAAATCTCACATTTCTGTTATAAGAATGAACCAGGCACTGGAATAGGAGGATAATTTTTGTTTATTTGTTTGTTTATATAAATGGTGCAGGGGATGAGAACCAGAGCCTCGTGCATGTTAGGCAAACAGCCTACCACTGAGCCACATTCCCAGCTCTTTTTTAATCTTAACAATTTTGAGAGCCATTTATTTGGGAACAATGAGGGAAACCAAGGGCAAGATTTAGACTATTAACCTGGTTATTGAGGGACAAGGAAAATGTTTTTAAGACATCACATATCAGGTTTTACGTATTCTTTTGTGTAAGTCAAAAGCTTAGCATGGATATTGGAGTGAGTCCCCCTCCCTCTCTCACATAGTCATTCACTCATTCCCTTTGGTTTTTCCCTTGTGAAATATTTCATTGTAGTTATCAACAAAGGCATGATGAAAAATAACCTTCAGCAATTAAAATTTTAATGTTCCTTCGTCTACTTAACTATTGAACTTTTTTGTGTGTCTTTTCAGCACTGGTTGGATGGTACAAAAAGCATCAAGAAGCAAGTAAAAAGTAAGTGTTATAAAAGTTATTTGTAGAGAAAATGGGAATCAAATGTATTAGAAACTCTGGCTCTTGAGGGTAAGAATATCGTTTTTGGATCATTTCATTCTAATGGACTGACTCATATAGGTTTGATACTAATGTAGATTCAAGTGCCTTACAATTTAAAGTTTGTAGGAGAAAGCCTTACAGCTTGCAAATAAGATTGACTTTCCCAAAAATGGCTTGATTTTTATTTAGTAATTATTTGTGTTGGAATTTTTTTGTTTGGCTTTTACTTGACTTTTGCCTAGTTTGAGAAAATAATTTTGAGGCTTTAAAGCTGTAACAATATTTAGTTTAGAATAATGAGATGACTCTATGGCCATACTACCCTAAACTCCCCCAGTCTTGTCTGATCTTGGAAGCTAAGCAGGGCCAGGCCTGGTTAGTACTTGGATGGGAGAAGGGAGAATAATGAGATGAAATATTTCACATAAAATATTAGTATTATTCTTAGCAGTCGTCAGGGAAGAATACTAGTATCCAGTCCATAATCTAGTTTGACCTTTCATAGTGTCAGGTTTCAGGGTACCTCACCTCTTGTCTTTACAAAATGATGGGGCAGAACTACTGAGAATACAGGAATACAGAGGTTAGTGAATTAGCGAAAATGAATTTGAAAGTGTGTGGGATGACTATTGTTGACCAATTAATCTGAGCATTCCTCAATGCCTTTTAAGAAAAGTCAGCTTGGTCAGTTTTCAGGGCTGTTAGTTTGTATGGTCAAGACTTTTATTTTATGCATTTGGCCCTGAACTGTTAGAGCTGTCTGTTGTGTCATGAGGTGACAGACATTTATGATAATGCCATATGATGGTTGGTATATTTTTTTAAGTCTGCTGATGTTTTTGTGTAACATTTAAGTTGTGATCTAACCTGAAATAATGCCACAATAACCTGTTATCTTCTGTCCCACTTCAGTAGATTTTCAACAGATTTACTGGCTGAAAAGTATTATTAGTTAAATAGAAACTAAATCTTTTTTTTTCATGGCAGTTGGTTCACCTTATTGTCTGCATCTTCGAGTTAAGTTTTATTCCTCAGAGCCAAACAATCTTCGTGAAGAGCTAACCCGGTAAGACTGCTATCTAGAGTTGTGTATGGTTATTTGGTAGTGTTGGAATTAATTTTAGGATTGTTTACAATTTCTAAATGACTAATGAAATAGATTACTTGCCCCTAGTAATAAGACATCAGTGAATTTTGTTCTGGGACAGTGGTTGTTTTGTTTTGTGTTGTGTAATTTTGTTTTGTTTGCAGTACTGGAGATTGAACCCAGGGCCTTTGCAGTGAGCTCTGCTTCCATCTCTTTTAATTAATTAATTAATTAAATTTTGGTACTGTGGATCGAACTTGTTTTATTTTTTATTTTGTTATTTTATGTTTTTTTAATTTTAATTTTATTGGTACAATTTAGATACACATAATGATCACATTCATTGTAGGGAATTTGTACCTGTACATGATGTATCTTGAGTCCTCTTTTTTTCCCATTCCCCTTCCCTCTCCTCCCATCAACCCCTTTTTCCCTATTTACAAAAATCCCATTTCCATTTTTTCCTTCTTTTCTCATTTTCTTCCTTTTTCCTTTCTCCCTCCCCCAGTTAGTTCCCCTTTACTTTTGAACAATTTCATCCTATTTCACATTATCTATTATACATTTTGGGCCCTATTTACACTTTCAGTTTCTTATACCAGAGAGACAATGCAATATTTACACATGTGTCCAATTTATTTCACTTTAAGAGTGCAGCTTCAAGGTGCATCCATTTACCTATGAATATCTCAAGCTTATCCTTCTTTATGGCTGAGTAGTACTCCATCATAGAAAAACCACATCTTTGTTGTTGTTGTTGTGGTGGTGGTGGTACTGGTGATTGAGCTCGGGACCTTGTGCTTATGCAGCAGGTGGCAAAACCACTGAGCTAAATCCCTGGCCCCACATCTTTTTTTATCCATTCATCAGTTGATGAGCATTTGGGTTGTTTCCAAGATTTAGCTATTATAAACTGTGTCATTATAAACATGGGTGTGCATATATTGCCGTGGTGTGATGCTTTTAATTCTTTTGGGAAGATACCCAGCAAGGAAATGGGACCCAGCAGGTCAAATGGGACCTCTAATCCTAGTTTTTTGAGAAATCTCCACAGTTATTTCCACAGTGGTTACACCAGTCTGCACTTCCACTGGCAGTGGAGAAGGGTTCCTTTTCCACACATTCCCATCAGCATTTGTTGTTGGTTGATTTCTTCATAATAGCCATTCTTTCTGGAGTGAGATGGAATCTCAGCCTTGTTTTAATTTGTATCTCTCGAATGACCAGTTGAGCATTTCTTCATATATTTATTTGCCATTTGTACTTCTTCATCTGAGAAGTGTGTATTCATTTGAGATGCCCATTGTTGGATTGGGTCTTTAAATTTGCAGGGGTCTGATTTTTTTTCAATTCTTTGTATGTTCTAGATATTAGTCCTTTATCTGAGGGACAAGCAGCTACAATTTTTTCCTACTCTCAATCTGATAAAAGCCATCCATGACAAACCAACAGCCAACTAAACGGACAAAAACTGAAAGCTTTCACTCTAAAATCAGGAACAAGACAGGGATGTTCACTGTCACCACTTAATATAGTTCTGGAAACATTAGCCACAGCAATTAGACAAGAGAAAGAAATAAAAGGAATAAGGATAGAAAAGAAAGAAGTTAAATTATCATTATTTGCAGATGACTTAATACTCTATATAGAAGACCCCAAGAACTCCACCAAAAGACTTGTAGATTTAGTAACCAAATTCAGTAGTGTAGCTGGATACAAAATCAACACTCAAAAATTAATAGCATTCCTGTACAGGAATAACAAACTCACTGAGAGAGAAATTAGATAAACAACACCTTTCACGATAGCATCCAAAAAAATGAAATACCTACTAGTCAATCTAACAAACGAAGTAAAAGACCTCTACATTGGAAACTAAGTACCCTGAAAAAGGAGATAGAAGAGGATATCAGAAAATGGAAGATATCTCTTGTTCTTGGGTAGGAAGAACCAATATAGTGAATATGGCCATACTTCCAAAATTGTTATGCAGATTTAGTGAAATCCTGATCAAAATTCTACCAGTGTATCTCATAGAATTAGAAGACAACCCTAAAATTCATTTGGAACCAGAAGAGACCTAGAATACCAAAGATAATTGTGTTTTTTGGTTTTTTGAGACAAAGTCTTGCTGTGTAGTTTAGGGGAACATTCAACTCTCTGTGTAGCCCAGGCTGGCCTTGAACTTGCATCAGTCCTCCTGCCTCAGCCTCCCAAGTGTTAAGATTACAGGCATGTGACACCATGCCCAGCTATATTTTATTTTGAGACAAGGTCTCACTAAGTCAGTAACTTGCCTAGGCCAGGCTCAAACTTGTGATCCTCCTGCCTTAAGCCTTCCAGAGTGGTAGGATGATGGGTTTGCACTATTACCACCACTACACCTGGCTGGAATAATATTTTTTAAGTGTGTGATTCTGTTCTTTTATTTATTTTCAAAATATTTGGTTCCCTAGTATCTGCCAGAAGTGACTAGTTTTCTTTTTCACATGTATTGTTAACACATAGATTTTAAAGAGGTTTGTTGTTTTTAGTACGTTGCAATACCATGTTAATGGACAAACTAATCTCTTTGGCCACTGGGTGTTCATTCAAGTTAGTTCCTGACGTTTTACTCATTAAAATGTCATTAATGAATGAAAATGTTAGATCTTGATTTGGTTTGAATAGTTTTAAATAAACATTACATTGTATCCACTTTATTTTATTCTGCCTCCTTGATATTTATTCATTGACTCTATTACATAAGCATGACTCTATGCACACACAATATTCATTAGGTGAAAAAGTGAGTCAGAGAAATCCTTTGGAAGGGTTCCCTCTTTTGACAGTGAGATTATAGCTGTTGTCCAGGAATTTATCCATCTGTGTCTCTCATGTATAAAAAAGATGTGTTAATCAGAGTACAGTTAGCCAAAGATTGTCCTTCTAGAAAAACGCATGCACACATACAGTTTTAAGGGATTCTGAGGCCTCTGAAGCATGAGAAGCCTGGTTAAGAATCTAGATAATGAGCCAAAGCTTGTGGCAAGCTCTTAATTTCTGAAGATAGTGACTGGTTGGGTGTGGGACAGATATTTAGGGTTCTGGTGTATTTTAGCCAAAAGCAAAGGCACAAGAAAGCAGTCAGGACTGGCACAAGGGGACCCCACCCTGCTTGTCTTCTCTCTCTACTAAGGTTGCTGTAATATGCTCTGATTCTTTGCTGTTATCTTGTGGTCATGCGAATCTCCTGAGTCTTATTCCCCTTTTTTTACGTATTTTTTCCTTTATGCACTTTATTGTGGGTAAAATGACATAGTGGATTATTCATTGGTGCCTTTTATTTTTCATAGGTATTTGTTTGTTCTTCAGTTAAAACAAGATATTCTCAGTGGAAAGTGAGTATTGTTGAGCAAATAACTGCACATTTTCTAGAGTGGTTGAAAAATTATTGCAAAAATAAGTTCTAAGTTATGAAAATGAAATGGTCAACATAAAGTATTTTTTTTATTTATCTTAAAATGGAGATTAGAAATTGACTTAACAATTTTGTGTTTTGGTCTCAGATTAGAATGTCCTTTTGATACAGCAGTGCAACTGGCAGCTTACAATCTACAAGGTAAGCAGTTCTTGTGCTGTTAAGCCTAGAGCATAATTGGTTTTTTGTGTGTGTGTTTTAAACAATTTGAAAAGTCAAATAATTTGCAAGAAAAGACACACTTTTTGTATAAACGTTTATACGAAAAGATACACTTTTTGTATAAATGTTTATCAGTGTCCAACTCTTTTATCTTAGAACATAGACTTTTTATTTTCTTTCTTATCTTTGTCCCTTTTCCGTCTCTAATATTTTCAAACAAAAATTGGAGTTCACTTGATAATTTAGTAAATGTTATAATTGGGCACTCAGCTAATATTTTCCTTTAAAAAATACAGTGGGATATGAGTACATTATTGCTGTGGCCACATAGTGTTCTTTCATTATTCTTTTTTTTTTTTTTGGTAACGGAGATCAAACTCTGACCTGGCACTGAGCTAAATCCCTGGTCCACTTTCATTATTCTTACTCTTTTTTTTTTCTTCCAGTACTGGGGATTGAACTCAGACTCTGTGTTTGCCAGGCAGGTGCAGTGCCGCTGAGCTACATCCCTGGCCCT